AAAAAAAAAAAAAAAGTCTGGTCTGCATGCCACTGGAATATAGTCTCAACCCAAGATATAAGGAACTTACGTAATACAAATAAACCCTTCACAATTATAATAAATAGCTTATTTCACCTGTGATGAACGAAGTGTCGAGACTTGTTTCTGTAAGGAGATATTTTCCTCTTCAAGTTCATTGTTATCATTTAAAAGTCGTCTTTCTCTAAATTCAACTTCTTTCAACTCTGACTTTAAGTTTTTCTTTTCCCATTCACTAGCATCAATTTGTTTCGATAGAGTTTGATTTTCCTGGTGGATATGATCACTTTCTGCTTTTACACGGGCAAGCTCCTGCTTTACCTATAACAAAAAATACAGCAAGGAATGAACTCACTTGTATATTACCTGTGTAATTATTGGAATAATTTAAGTTAATCCTCATAGAACACATGAAACCCAAAGTTTTATATGGAACTCGAAACAAAGAAGCATAATATGTACGGTAAAACTGTAGCAATCGGACATCAGTTACTGTTAGGGTTAGTCTATAGTTGTGGCAATGGGACATCAGTTACTGTCAGGGTTAACCTATATGATCAACAAATCTAATTACCAACTAATAACTAACTTTTTGTCAACATAACTAGATACTAACTGTTAACTACTTTTATCTTACATTACAGCTGATAATCTGCTTCCTCTTTCAGGGAATTCCTGTATTGGTAGTGGCTGGGACTTGTTATCCACTTGAGACCCCAATAGAGTGGACAATGCACCAGACATCTGCCATATAATGCTTCCAGTTATATACCTCATTTTAAACCTAACAGCAGCTAAATAGTAAAATTGGCATTCAAGCTGTTCCAATTAAATATTTTACTACAGACTCAGTGGATTACACTGACCTCATGATTCCAAACTGACCATTGGAGTTTCAATACTATAGTTTCATTCACCTTATAACTTCAAAGTGACCATTAGAGTTTCAATACTATAGTTTCATTGACCTCATGATTCCAAACTGACCATTGGAATTTCAATACTATAGCTTCACTGACCTCATAACTCCAACTGACCAGTTTCAATACTATAGCTTCACTGACCTCATAACCCCAACTGACCAGAGTTTCAATACTATAGTTTCATTGACCTTATAACCCCAAAGTGACCATTAGTTTCAATACTATAGCTTCACTGACCTCATAACCCCAACTGACCAGAGTTTCAATACTATAGCTTCACTGACCTCATGACCCCAAAGTGACCATCGGAGTTTCAATACTGTAGCTTTTAACATGTTTTGTATATCTTCATCTTCAGGAAAAATTTCAAGCTTTAAGTAAATGACAGAAGTCTTTTGTAGATCAAATATAAATTTTTAATTAGGTATTTTACCTAAACATTTGTCCATGAATATAAAAAGTCAAAGTGTTGACTATTCCAAGTGCAAAATGATTTTCATGTTAAGGTTAAAAATAGCTTTCTTCATCTGAAAATTTTCACATTTCATTCACATAATCTCTAAAACCTCCTCAATAAATAAATAACAAAAGGTTTTTGCAGAAAGACTCTATAGTTTGTCTGATATTTGCTCTAACCTAACTCTATACGTTATTGATTAATTTGGCTGACCTTGTAACAACCATACAAGTTTAAAGGATAAGAACTACAAAATTAAGTGAGCATTCTCTATGTCTAGTATGGACTATAAAATTCCAAAGTACTTCTCTTGAGAGCTTCTACTAACCTTTTCACATTTATTTCCTATGTATATTTTACTGTTAGAAACGGAAGTAGAAACCTGGCGAACATAAAGCAGTGAATCACTGTTTCTGCTATTAGTGTTAACGTGATAATGTAATACAGCATTGTAGCAGTGCAATTTCCAGAACTTTCCCACAGAGTTTTTCATAATCCTGACTCCGAGAACACAGTTGGAGTGGATTTATCAAGTACACTTGTTTCAACGAGAATTGTTGAAGGTAATAAAAGTGCAAGAAAACGTATATGACTTGGCTCTGTACAAAGTATGTGCCAATCCAATAAACTTAGTAGGTACTTGGATGTTAGTTATCCTACCAGATGGGGTTGGAATTTAGTGGTATAGGTGTACAAAGTGCATAGGTGCTTATGAACTATTTACTCATAAATGCTAATGTTTTAGTTATTTTTCTTAAAATATTGAACAATGAATAAAAAATATATAGAAAACCAACGATTTCTCATACTTTACATACAGATTTATTGGAATGTGTTCTTTCTATTGTTACAAACATGTACTTCAGTGAAGTAGGCATGAATATACAAGAGGTTTCAAAATAATGGAGTAATGGGTAGGGTTACTCTGGTGGGTTAGCAAATTATAATATCAAATTAAAAAATATGGGAGGTTCTTATTTTATATCCTATCTTGTAAATGTCTGAAGTTTGAGTTTCTAATTCACTAACAACTATATATATGTTGTATGTTAGGCCTTATAAAATATAAATTTACCAATAAAAAAAAGAAGCCGTACCATGTGACACACAAAAAATCATACGTATTTAGCATTATTTTAATATTTTCTTTTGAATTAAGAAGTCAAAACATATTTTAAAACTTGAATTATAAACTATGTTGTGACACCAATTTTATTGACATGAAATTATGACATAGTTGTTTAAATTTCAAAAATAACTCTTTAAAACATCTTGATATGCCCCCTTTGATCTGTCCGTAGTAAGAGGGTTAAAGATACAACAAACGTTTCTGAATGCAGTGCCTCAGGATTTCTGTGCAATTTGACTGTTCAAATGAGTGCTGTGAAGCTGTCATTCTCATACATGGAAAGCAAGCCGAGAAGAATAATGTGCTTTGAACATGACCAAATTATTATTGAAACTACAGTGCAGGGCTATTGTCAAGATGCATGATCATCAGACAGAGCATGACTGGTTAAGGCAACATGGACTGTAATGATATGGTGAGGCTCTAGAATCTTTAATATAACATACTCAACCCTTTGTAGGTTCATGTAAGTACAAAAATTAAGTTTATTGTAGTTTTCACAAACTTAGGTAAAAACTATAACTTATAAGATTGTACTACAATTAAAACTCTGATTGAAATTCTACTTCCCTCTTTAGTCAACATTATTAATACAGTTAAAACACGCAATCAGAACAAAGCAACTGTACATTGATGCATGGGATACCTGTTTTATTTCTCGTTCTAACTCAAGAAGAGTTGATGTAAAAGAAGCTTCTTTATGGGCCGTTTCTTTTAGTAGGTTTTCTTCCTCTTCAATCTCTGATGTAACTGATGCTTTTTGACTTGACTGGAACTTGTAAAATGTCTACAAAAAAAGAGTAACGTATATAAAAAAAAGCATACAAGTCACTGGGACACTTTGGGAAAAAACAAAAACACCTGTTATAAGAAATTATAAGAGTGGTGGATGGAAATGTTCTTGTGGAAAACTCTTTGACAAAACTAGTAAACAGAAATATCTTTAGAAAACTAGAGCACAATGGTCTTTGACAAAACTAGTAAGTGGAAATTGTATTTACAAAGCTTAAAATATTTTAAATAAAACTGGAGAATGTAATGTAGGAGCAGTGTTAAAGCAGGTGCTAAGGATGCAATTGCACCAGGGTTTTTTGCCCATGAAGGGTGGGGATCCATTCTCCAGAATTAAAGAAAATTTCAAGCCCTAAAATGAGCCTTGGAAAAGGATCTTTCCATGGGCCTTTAACTTAACCAAGTTCCTTGGTAGAAGGTTCCATGACAAACTTGGAGAATGGAAACATTCTTGACAAAACTAGTAAACAAAAAATGTTCTTGATGCAACTGGTTGACAGAATAGCCTTTGAGAAGTGCTAGATGGAAATGTCCTTGACAAAACTTTCAGACGAAAAATCTCTGATGAAACCAATGGATATAACATAATATAATGTTTTGGGACAACATGGGAACTATTGGTCCATCTCGGCTGTTCCATCCTTAAAATTAAATTAAGTTAAAAAATATAATTAAAAATTTTAAACCCAGCCCTTATCATTCATATACTTATCAAGCTTTTTCTTAAACTCTCTTAAATTTACTGCCTCTACAACATCTGAAGGCAACCTATTCCAAAGACCAACCACCCTGTTAGAAAAATGAAACTATTTTAGCTGAAGATGAATCCCACCTTGCCAAAATTTATATTTGTGTCCCCTAGTCCTACCATTTTCACCATTAAGTATGAAAAAAGATGATGCCTCAACACTATCAATTTCCTACCACTAGCAACAGTACACTGCTTGGATGGCTTTAGAGACTGATCAACTATTACACCAAGATCCCTTTCCTTCATAACACTATTAAGGTTATTCTCATCTAAATTATACTTATAATTCAAATTATGATGTTGGGCAAATAAATGGCAGATGGGTTTTAATTATAATAAATGCAAGATAATGCATGTGGGTTCTGCTTAAGATGAATGTAATGGCCTGTTTCATTCACAAGCTGCTTAAGATGAATGTAATGTATTCCACATCTTGAACAGTTTACAGATGGAAACAAGATGACTGTATTAATTCTGAGCTGGTTAAGAAACAAATGGGAAGTTTAAATAATGATATGGCTTCTGGACCAGATAATATTTCCCCAAGGGTTTTGAAGGAGGTTAAAGATTAGATATGTGAGCCACTTACTACTATTTTTTGTCAGTCCTTGAATAGTGGGCAGGTACCAGAGGATTGGAAGTTATCTCTACTGGTGTGGGGGATAAGTTAGCAAATTAGATAGAAGAGTGACTGGATGGAAGAAAGCAGAGGTTTGTTACAATTGGAGTTCAGTCAAACTGGATTAATGTCACAAGTGGGGTACCTCAGGGCTCAGTCTTAGGACCTTTGCTCTCTTTGACTTATATCAATGACATAGATGAAGGAATGGTCAATAAATTACTTACATTTGCAGATGATATTAAGGTCTTGGATGTTGCTAGCTGTGAAGAGGATGCTGCTGGTTTACAAAAGGATTTAGATCATTTAGTAATCTTGTGAATGAAACAGGCCAATACATTCATCTTAAGTGGCTTGTGAATGAAACAGGGAGTCAGGCCAATACATTCATTTCATTCACAAGCCACTTAAGCAGGTAGTCAGGCCATTACATTCATTTTCATTCACAAGCCACTTAAGCCTATTACATTCATCTTAAGCAGCTTGTGAATGAAACAGGTAGTCAGGCCATTATATTCATCTTAAGTGGCTTGTGAATGAAGCAGGCCATTACATTCATCTTAAGTGGCTTGTGAATGAAACAGGCCATTACATTCAAATACAATCTGGTCAAATCACCAGACAACAACTTTGGATTTCTGTACAATTGGACGGTTGAAACATAAATTGGAAAAGTATCGCCTTTGTAACTAGATGGAAAATGGAAAGCCTACAGGGAAGAGTTGCTGTGCTTTGGACATGAAATCTCTACTATAGAGCCTTTTGCAATGGAAAATACACTACAAAGCTATTGTCAAAAATGATGGTCTTCAGACAGAATAAGACAATACATGGTGACATGGACTGTAACAGTGTGGTGAGGTTTGAAATAATGTCCAAATAAAAACAGTGAGAATGTTACATATCTGTACTGCTCAGAACTCATACAGAGTAGTGATTTTTCATGCTGGATGATTTTTACTTCAGCAGTAATTACATTAAATTCCAACAAAATCTTCAGCAACTATCTGTGAAGGTCGACAGGTCTGATTAGAATTTTAACAAACTAGTTGATACAATTTGATTTGTTTAAGAAGGAGCATCAAATAGGGAAATAATAAACAAAAATGTGAAGGTAACCATTAAAAATATGGAAATATTTAAGTGAAATAGGTACACCAAAAAATGGAATAGGAATAGCCTTATCAAATACATTAAGGTCCTGTAATTTGAGAACTAAACACATCCATACTTGATTCAACTAATTGGCGATGTAATATATCCTCATAGCTGTTGACTGAAACATTTGATGATCTTGGTTTTTCTGATCTAAAATAAAGACAATGAAATTTTGTGAATAAGGAAAGAGAAAACAAAAGATAAGAGTACTAAGTTCATAAAAATGTGTAACAGAAATTAAAACTAATTAACCCTTTTACTTCGGCTGGGAAATATACGTTCCAGTTGCAGTCAATGGGTTAATAATAATATAATCATCACTGCACTTATTACACACACACGCACAATCATTTTTTTTATGTAATTTTTGTTAATAATATGTTTTACACATGAAATATGATACCAGGAAAAACATTAACATGATTTATTTTTGTGGCACATCCTTATTCCGATGTTTGAAGGAATTCACGTGCTTACATTGTTTAAACATTAATAATAATTGTCATTTTCACGTGCTTACATTGTTTAAACATTAATAACAATTGTTATTTTTCCC